TAGGCTGCGCAGCGATCCCTGGGAAATGTAGTCTTGGGACGTGACCCGTGTGCTTCTCACCTTGCCCACAAGAGGTCAGTGTTGTCTGCCACATCGCCGCGGCGGCGCTCGCTACAACAGCTTGTTTACACGATGCAAGGACCCAGAATTTCTTCCTGCGGCCAAAACACTTGCTGTGTGTACAAAGTACAGACATAAAGAGTATACAACTTAAATTCTTAATTGAATAAAGATTCTCCCTCAGCAGTGATCGGGATTCGAAACCGGGTGTTTTCTGGCGACAGCTCAAATGCTGTACAGGAGAGGTTAAGCTTTATTAGCGCCACCTGGCGGTTTTACAAGGTGATTGTAATGTTTTACTATTAACAGAATCTAATTTGCCTACGGCATGGCGCGGTTTGACGCGTTTAGATGCAATACGCCCACCGCGTTGTACCGCAGCGTAACCCGCTTGTTTAAAATGGCTGCATCTGTGTAATCAGTGTAAAATAAACAGCGATACCATACAATACAGTGCATCTTTGTATTGGCGCATACATGCAAAAAAGCATTTCATTGCACTTGTGCGTACGACGATAAACTGAAGTGCTGAGAAAATCTGCAGAGTCGCGTGTGACGTGTGTATGGGCCCTGAGGGGCTCGTGGATCAGAGTTGGAAACCGTAAAGGCGCTGGGAATGAATGACTTCTAAAAAAATGTTGCCGTAACCTTCGGCACTCTGAAACGTCATCCCGGCAGTCATTTTTCAAAGTGGGACCGCAGTGAATGTGAGGCGTCGTTCACTGAGAACACTGCTTCACTGTGATCGGTGTACGTGTGGATACGGATACCGATATTCAGAACAAGGCCCACTCTCCACAAACTAGCCGCGTGTATCTGTAGGCGGGCTCAGTTCTCTCTCTCTCTTCTCTCTGGGCTTTTATTTCCAGAGTCCTCTCCTGGCTCCGGTTCGTAAGAGTGGATGCTTTATCTGTATCGGTCGAATGTTCTTCCCTGCAGGAGGTCAGATAAGGCCCTATCGTCCGCACGCAGACGCGAGAGGAAAAAAACAGCGCTGTCGGTGATCTGCGTTTCATCCGTGTGGAGCGAGAACTGCACTGGCTGACAAAACCCATCGTCACCAACGCCCTTCCCCGACAGCAGGGCTCTCTGGGATCGATCACTGAGGAAACAGGTGCCGAACCACTCAAATCTGTATTAATGATGACATTTTAAAAATATGTTATGAAAACATGGAGAAATGGCAAATAACA